GGCTTTTAAGCCACCACTTTCTCCCGGCTGGCGAATAAACAACCGAGTGCAGGTCGCGTCCGGCTTTTTTTTTTTTTTTTAAAGAGGTAGAGAGTGGAAAATGCACGGCGGACCCACGGCATCGGGGGCAGACACACACACACACACACACACACACACACACACACACACGCCGGACGAACCGCGAGCCGCCCGGGGCGTGCCAGGACGTGCTCTCCCTTTAAAAGGACAGAGGCGCGTCCACGGGGTGCTCCAGCCCCCTCTGCCGGATCCTGAGGCCCTGGGGGTGCCTGCTAGTCCCCTTGCCTGGCGCCGGTGGGTTCACTGTGCCCCCTGAAGCCCCATCACAGGCCCTGAATTGCCCCGATGTCCCGCCGCGCACTGCAGAGCAAGGGGCCCGTCCCGCCCGGCAGAGGCTGCTGGGGCTCTGGAAGGGACTCCTGCAGGCGGGCACCCGGGGAGCGGGCGGCACGTGGGGACCTGCCACACGTCGGGCGTTTAATTCACTCACGCGGAAGCATCCGAGGGGCCCCCGTGCGCCCCTACCTGGGGAGCCCAGCACCGTGGCTGTGCTCAGAAACCCGACCCCACACGACGTAGGCAGAGGGGGCCCTGACCTCCACCCCCTCCGAGCTCAGAACCCGGGCCCGGGAGGCCGGCTGCCCCACGGGCACTCCGGCCTCGCTGCGTGTCCGACACGTGGAACTCGTCACGGGCTCGTCCTGACACGGGCAAGGCCCACGGCCTCCGGCTGAGGACACGAGGCCCGGTGCTCCGCGGTCCTTCCCTGCCGGGGTGCAGCTCACGGGTCAAGGTCTGCAGACGACCGTGACCTAGAGACACAGCCTGCAGCCCTTTCCACCGTGAACAGCCCGGGGCGGACACGTCAAAGTTCTCCAGCGACCGTGCCCGACTACCTCCTGCCGCCCAGGAGGCCGGGAGCAGACAGAAGATGAACCAGCCTTGACCGAGACAGGCGGGGGCAGCCCCCTCACCGGCCCCCGATGGTGCAGGGTCGGCGGAGCCAAGCCACTGAGGCTGGAAGGCCACGGAGCCTCACGCTCTGCCGCCTGGAGCCCCCCATCGAACACGGCCCCGGAGCCACCTGGTGCGAAGACGGAGAACCCGCCCCCCCCAACCCCGGCCCCCTGCCTCCACACTCCAGAGCCCCCGTGAGCTTTGTCCCCGGACAGACCCTGCTGGGCAGAGAGACGACATCACACCCTGGCCAGCGCACCGGGCCCCACCCCTGACACCCTCGACTGGGAGGGGGAGGGGGGTAGCTGGGCGTTCGTGTCAAGAAGGGCGGGAAGAGGCAGAACCGACCTTGGAAGGGGACACTGGCAGGGGGAGGAGCCACTCATTCAGCGACTATTGCACTGAGGCCCTGCTACGTGCCAGGCCCTGTGGGGAAGGCAGACACCGCCCTGTTACAGGGGTACCAGCGCAGAGACACAACCCCCCAGCAACGGGTGCCCTTTGGCGTGCGGGCTGACGGGCCCGGAAGCCACGCCCACATCCCAATCCCTGGATCTTGGCATCGTGACGTCACTTGGAAACCTGTCTCACCGACACAATTCATGGAAGGATCTCAAGGCGAGGGCATCCTGGGTTTAGGGCGGGCCCCAAGCACACGGCGGGCTGGTGTCCTCGTCACAGAAGGGAGAGGGACTGGAGACGAGGACACGGGGGGGGGGGGGTGCCACGTAGAGACGGCGCCGGGAGAGGGGGGACGCCCAGCACGGTGGCTGCCGTGGGAGGGGGGAGGGTCCTGCTGCCCGGGCCCCCTGTAGGCCCCCGCCCTCCGCGGACCCCAGCCCAGTGGGCTCCAGCCCCCCTCGGGTGGGACGGCGCCCAGGCTCACTCTCACAGCCCCCTGGGTCCCCCGTGGGACTCAGCCTTGGGCGCCTGCGCTGTCCCCCGCCCGTCGGCACACCTGAGCGGCCGTCCTTTCCCGACTCACTCCCCCGCGCTCCCACTGAGCCTCCAGGTGTCACCCCCGCGCCCCCACTCAACCACCTGCAGTCCAGTCCTTGCCCCGGTCTGACTCGGGGGACTCAACCCCCAGGCCGTGTCCTACGCCAGTTCCTGCCTCGGCGGCGCCCGGAACACCGCTGCGTCGCCACGTGGGGGCGGAAAAGGAGTGTGAGCTGCCGTGAAACGCTGGGCACGCAGCCGCCAGCAGCCGGTCGCGGTTTCGCTGCGGCGACTCCGTCACCCGCGGGCAGGGCAGCTCCCTTGGACCCGCACGCAGGAGTGACAAGAGTGACAAGTGACCCACATGGGCCAAGGGCAGGGCCAGCAGGGGGTTCGCCCACCACACACACATCCCACCAGTGACGCAGGGGACGCGGAGCCGGGGGTGCTGGGGGTGCTAGGGGCACACGCCTGGGCTCAAGCCTCGGGGTCCGGCCAGCATGGCCTCGAGTCGGGACTTTACAACAGGTTCGCGGTGCGTCGATGGGCCAGCGCACTGAGTGACGTCCGAACCACGAGGAGCCCACAGACTCTCGTCCCTCGTCCCCTGTGGGGCGTGGTCCGCAGAGTGGACTGAGATGGAGCAGTTTGCACGGTGCCAGGCTCCTGGGTCACCATCGCAGACCCTCACCAGACGACTCGGGGGACAGAGGAGGCCTCTCTGCTCCTCCTCCGAGACCTGAGGGGCCGGTGGACAGCGTGGCACTTCTGCGCTGTCCTTCCCATTGGGGTACCCTCTGGGCGAGCCCACCCAGACCACAGGGCCCCGGGCGCTCGGACTCCCTGCCTCGGGTCCTTGGGAAAGCCGGCCCCGCATCTCCACGGGGCCCAGGCGGTTTATGGAGGTGCCTCCCACCTCCGGCCCAGGACCGGGACACACAGAAGTCACAGGAGCCGGTGGGGGAGCCCCCAAACCTCCAGAGAGCGTGCCCTTTGCCCTCTCACTAAGTCATTGGTCGGAACGGGTGAGCAGTAACTAAAATGTATTCACCCACCTCCGTAAATGTGTCAAGTAACCAAAATGTATTCACCCAACATTGTAAATGTATTACCGGTAACTAAAATGTATTCACCCACCCTCGTAAAATGTATTCACCCACATTGTAAACATATTACTAAGTAACTAAAATGTATTCACCCAACACTACAAGTGCATTACTAGTAACTAAATGTATTCACCCGACATTGTAAACATGTTACTAAGTAACTAAAATGTATTCACCCAACACTACAAGTGCATTACTAGTAACTAAAATGTATTCACCCGACATTGTAAATGTATTACCAGTAACTAAAACGTATTCACCCAACAAACAGCATCGCTTCGGCAATAAAAAAGATCCCTGCTGTTTCTAAAGAGGCGTTTGCCTCTCAGACAAGGAAGCTAATTATATCGCAGGATGGGGGGGGAGGAGCCAGGAACCTCCCCAACCCGGGTTGCGAAATCAGCCCTGTGCGTCCAGGGCTTGGCGGGTTCTGAGGCAGTTTTTGAGGAGGGCAGGTCGGCAGATTCGCGGTGGGCCGTGTGTGGTGGGCCGGCAGGGCTGCGGAGCTGCAGGGCAGGGCTGGAGGCGGGGGGGGGGGGGGTCACAGTCCCCGGTGTTTGCCCCTTCCTGCCTCCCTCTGCCACAGGCGCCCCATCAAGGTGAATGCCTAACGAGGGTAATGAGGGGAGCCCCGAGCTTGTCGGCATCTCAGACAACTGAGATCCACGGAGCCCGTGGGGCCCGTGAACAGTCTCCCCGTCGTGAGGGGTCCCCTCCCTCCCCCTCCCTCCCCCTCCCTCCCCCTCCCTCCCCTCGCCTCTCTCCCGTGTGCTGCGCACCTGCTTAATAGGACCCCAGTTCCCTTCCCAGCAGCGGCGTGTTCGGCCTCCAGGCGGCCGTATCTGATTGCACTGCCCTCGGATTAGCGGGGCAGGGGGGACCCCGAGAGCACACTTCATTTTCTAAATCGCTGTGCAGACACTCGCTCATCCATCTCTATAACGCGCTCACGGGCGGGGAGGGGGGGGTGCTGATGCGGCCCAGGCACAGGCCGCATCTCGGAGCAATTAAGCGATTTGCCCCGGCTCTTGGGCTGGGGGTGGGGGGGGGGTCCCCGTCAGCATCGCGCAGCCTGGGGCAGGCCCGGCGCTCAGCACGGGGCGCCCCGCGATGCAAGCGCAGCCTCTGGCTCTGCAGCCTGGCGGGTTCCCAGGGGCAGGGCGGGTGCCAGCCACACGCGCCACAAGGTACAGACTCGACAGCCAGACCGGCGGGGTCCGGCTCACCCCCAACACCGGACACGGGGCGAGGGGCGCAGGCAGGGAGACACGGGCGCCATCGGCTACCTCTCGGGCGCCGTGCAGCCGCTCGACGGGATGGCACCGTCGGCGCAAGCTCACCGCTGCCGGTCCAGTGGGGCTGCTCCCCGCTGCAGCTCCGGTGCCAGCCCGGGGCCGGGGGACACAGGCCGGCAGGCTCTTCCAAGATGCAAGACTGGGCCCAGCCGCCGGCGGGGCGGTGGGAGAGAGGAGGAGCCCCGGGGACAGCCCTCCTGGCTGGCGCGAGGGGCACTGGAAAGGGGAATGGTGGTCAGCACCCTCGTGGGGCGCCGTGGGGCGGGGGCGGGGAGGAGGACGGAGAGGGTGGTGCCCCCCCCACCCCCCCTCCCCGTGCTCGCACCTCGTTTAGTCTCCGTGTTTCAGGGGAGGTGGGGTGTGTGACGGAATCTCCCGGAAAACCCGTTCAGGTTGGTCTCAGAGGAACGGGCTCACCGGTGGCGGCACAGCCACGCCCCACACCCATGCGGCCACTTCGCCCGTCCCCCGCCCTAGCTGCTAAGGGTTTCCTGAGCTCCGGCCCCGGGACGAGTGTAAAAGACCCAGGAACAGGGACAGAAAAGACGTTACTCCTCTGCTTCCTGCCCAGTCTCACTAAACGCAGACCCTGAACCCATCTGATGAGGGTGACAGAGCGTAGGGAACATCTGGCGCGGTGCCCACCGCGCCCACCGGGGTCCGCGCACACACGCCTACGTACCGATGTCCGTTTCCTTGTGGTTCTTGATGTACTCCGCCAGCTCGAAGTTGCCCGCTATGATGGCCACCTGCAAGACAGGACACGGGTTACCGGCGCACGGCCCACGGCTCTGCGTGCCGCCGCAGCCCCCCGAGCCCCGCCGCGGCTCCTGTCGGCAAGAACGATGGATGTTTCAGATGGCGGGAAGCCACCACGCCGCTCACGGTGTGAGAGCGCACGGGGGCCTGACTCACGGGCACCGCGCAGCGGTCACCCCGAGTCCGGTTAACATTCACCACCTCAGACAGGTGGGGGGGTCCACGTTCCCTCGTGACGAGACCCTCGGCACCTGCTCTCTCAGCCCCTTTCAGGTGCGCCAGCCGCAGCGCCGGCCCCAGCGCGCCGCACCCCGGGACCCATCCCCCCACCTTCTAACTGGAGGCTCGGGCCTCTGACCCCTCCCCAGGCCCACCCGCCGACGACCCGCCCTCGTCGCCACAAATCCGGTTTCTTTTTCTGTGAGTCTGTGTTTTTAGGTCCCACGTGCAACTGAGCTCACACAAAGTCTGTCCTTGTCGGCACGGCGTCCCCCAGGCCCCTCCACGTCGTCGCCGGCGGCAGGGCCACTCAGAACCCTTCAAATGGCCGCCACGACACCCTGCGCCCTCAGAGCCACTTCGCCAAACGCCATGGCGCGCCCCCTCAGGGCCCCCGGCCATCTGATGGGCGGCGAGGCTGCGGTTCCGCCAGGATCGGTGCGAGTGGCGCCGGCACCCAGCGGACCGCGGCGGGAGCCCCTCGACGCCGGGGCCCGGGGCCCCGTGGACTGTCCCGCGGTCCCACCAGGCCCGCTGGTCCCGACACTGACGCCCCAGAGTGCACATCTCCATTCCACGGGAGCCAGTCCCCGGAACTGCAGACGGGGAGACCTGAAGTGTGGGTTCGAAGCCCGTCGTCAGAGTTTAGGTTGGGGGACAATGGCACCCCCACACGTGTGCACGGCCCAGTGGGGGTGGCCTTGGGGCTGACACCTGCAGCCGAGGGCTCCGGCTCCAGCTCCGCAGACCCGCTGACGCCAGTGGACACGCCGTGTGACTGTGGACAGGCGGGGCAGCCAGGCGGGGGAAGCCGGTGGCTCTCCCCGCCCCCCCAAGAGGCCTGAGCCACAGCCCCGTGGGCAGGGGTCGGAGGGCTCACAGAGCCCCGGACGGGGAGACGGGGGCTCAGGGGCAGCCGCCTGCCCCCTCGGACGAGCCAGGCGGTCGGGCACCGGGCCGCCGACACGCACACCCACGGGCCCCTGGAACACGAGACTCACGCCTTGTGTTCTCGGCCGAACGGCTCCCTCCCGCTCAGCAGGGTGAGGACGACGGAACAGAAAACCAGGGGACCCCCAGCGCCGGCGAGGCCGTGGGGAGACGGGCGTGTGTGGGCGCCGCAGCCGCTGGGGAAAACCGGGCGGAGCTTCCCCCACAAGCTGAACGCAGAGCGGCCATTTCACCCGACAAGCCCAACCCTGGACAGAGCCCCAGCGGGGCAGAGGGCGCGCAGGACGGCTGACCCGGCGTGTCCCCTGGACGGACGTCCGGCCCAGTGGCACTCCGGCGAGTCTGCACGCGTGTTTCCGGATGCCGCCGACACTGGACTCTGGACCCCGGGCAAAGCAGGCTGCCTCTCGTGTGGGGGCGGGGGGGGTGGGGACTTGCCCGATCAGTCGGAGACCTGAATACAATGACCGAGGAGGGGTCTCAACAGAGCAAAGGGGGGGGGCCTCCTGCCCAACACATGAGGGGTCATCCGTCTGCCCCTCCGCAGCGAGGGGAGGGAGGGCAGACTCCAGTCCTCCCCGCCCCCCACCCCCACGAGGGTGTGTGAGCCAACACAGGCCAGGCTGCGTCCTCCAGGAGACAGAGACGTCCACTGTGCACTGCTCCGCACCCCACGGGAGGGACTCGTTGTACAAAGGAGGTCATCACACCACAGGAACCCCTCGGTGCCCGCCCACCCGCTGCCGGGGCACAGCCGTGCCCACCGCCCCGGCCACTCCGGGAGCGCCAGCACCTGGCGGGCCCGACCGCTCGAGGGTGTGCGGTGGACGTGAATCACATCCGACACGATTCAACAACGTGAAATTGCATTTTAATGCCTTCGGGGATTTTTAAAAACAGATCAGGAGGCACTTCCTTTGTGAGGAAAAACCCGGGAATGAATTCAGTCCCTTGGGCCCAGCGGGTAAAGTTGGGGAGAAAGAAGAAAACGGGGGTGGAGGGGAAGGGGGGTGGGGAAGACAGCAAAGAACAAGGGGCAGTTTCCCGCCCTGTTTTGTTGGCCCATCGTCCGGTGCACCAGAAGGTTGCTGGTTCAATTCCGAGTTAGGGGCGCAGCTGGCACGGGGACCTCGTCACCAGAGCAGCCACGCAAGCGTTTGCTGCGTTTACGTGCACGCACGTGGGGAGCCTCGGATCACGCTGGAGCAGCCGGCCGAGGAACCGCGGGCTGCCCAGGACTCACCTGGGGGCTGCCAGGGCCTCCGAGCGGTGACAGAGCCCCCCGGGGCCACGCCGACTGCCCAGGACCCTGAGAAGGCACTCAACAGCCGTGTCTGACCTCAGATGTGGGGCCCGGCATGCGGCCGCATGGACTCGGCTCTGACGCCTTCCGCCGTGACACCCATTCTGCCTGCCTCTGCGTCCCTTTCGACACCACCCGCCTGTCACCAGGACAACGAGCGACTCCAGGCTTCTGACGGCCAGGCGGCCCCCAGACCACTGGGAGAGGGAAGCCACCCGCCCCGGGCCCAGGAGAGAACCCAGGGGAAGACGAGAAGCTCGGGCCAGCACAGAAAAGCCCCACAAAAACCCCCGAGGATCCCGCGGGCACATCGGAGAGGCTGGGTGTGAAGAGGCGGAAACCCGCTTGTTAGGGGCGTTTAACCTCGCCGGCTGGAAGGTCCCGGGCACCAGCACGGCGGTGCCCGCAGGCCGCACCTCGGTCTCCCACCGTGTGGGGCGGCTGGCCGCTCTGCAGCTGACTTCGGCGGCGTCTGGGGTTTCCTGCTGGCGTGACAAGCCCGCCCTTGGTCTTGAGGTTGCCCGTCGACAGGCCGATGCCCTTCCTCCTCTGAACGCAGACCTCGGTCCCTTCCAGACCCGTCAATCCCCTGAAATCGCAGACGTGCCTGGCTCTGTCCCCAGAGCTGCCGGCACGTGCTGGCCGGCTGTCACCGCCGCCACAGTCCCCTAGCCACGGCACCCCGGCGCCCAGCGTTGTTGCTCCTCCAGCTGCGACGCGTGGTGCCGTCTGCAGACACATACTGAGACAGCGACCCACAAACCCAGCCGTCGGGCACCAGAGGGCAGAGTCCCCGCCGGGAGGGACCGGGCGCCACGCCGGGGTGCCGCGGCTGCAGGGGCAGCTCAGGCTGGTGCCAGCCGGCTTCTCACAAGACCCGGGACCGACACCCACCAGCGACCCTGTGACCTCTTCACCACTCCCCCCCACCCCCCCCGGGGAACCAGAGGAAGAGACGGTCCAGGAAGAGCCGGTGTGGAAACCCCATAAACCCTGCCCCCAACCCTGGACCAGGGGACAGAGTCCAGCCCCCGGGCCTCCCGTCTCCTTGCTGGCCGACCTGCACGTGGACGCTTCTGTCATATCTCAGAGCCAGGCCTGCACTTTTGCCTCCTATGGGCGTCGGGCAGCAGGCCCTGGCCCGATAACAGCCCCGGGAGGCCCCCACCTGTGACATCGCTGCTCCCCGGAGCACACCTGGAGCGGGGCCCCGGGTCTCGGGAAGAAGCAAGGACACACAGGAGGCGCTCGCCCCGCACAGGTCTGCCACATGGGCCCGCAGGGTATGCGTGTGTGAGTGTGTGTGTGTGTGTGGAGGAGCCACGAGAAGGGCGCCACCTAGGGGCAGCCAGAGAGATGCCACATCCCGGTCCCACCAGAGTCTTCTGGACTATTGACCTAATTACACTGAAGCAAATCGCCACCTTTTAAAAAGAAAGTCCAGTGTGTTTTCTTGTACCGCCTCTCTTTCTGAACCACCCCTGAACCTGCCGACGCCTCTGTGTGTTTCCGTGTGTTCACCAGGTCCTTCCTCACCGCCACACTCGCCGCCACGCTCACCGCCACACCCACCACCACACTATCCGCCACGCTCTCCACCACGCTCTCCGCCAGGCGGAAGCGTCCCTCCTTTCTGGAGCCAGGCGCACCCAGGGAGGCCCCCCCATTCTCTGCAGGAAGGGTTAAAGAAGAAAGAAGGACAGTAATCCCCTCTGCCCGTGGCTGGCCCAAAGCCACTGTAAGCTGGATCAGGAGCCTTAATCCTGCGGGACAGATGACCCCCTCGGCCACCCAGCACACTCCGGGGAAGGGGGGCAGGCCCGAACTGGGCCCCCGCTGGGTGTGGCACGCACAGGGGCTGCGTGGGGAAGGTCAGAGGACATGGGAACAACCTGGAAAGGACAGGGTGGGCGCTGGAATAGGGGACACCCTCCATGTCCGCCTCGCCGCGCTGTCCCGTGGCTGCAGGGCGGATGGGGGCACGGAAATCCCTCGGCGATTATGAGAATCCCGAATGCGAACGCAGCAGAGAGCAGAAGGGCTAAATCCCGCACACACGTGTTCGCACACACCACAACACGCCGCCCCGCCCGCCAGCGTTCACGAGGCCGCACAGGACTCCTCTCCGGAGCTCTGGCGGGGCACGATTCACGGGAAGGGGCGGTGACGGAATTCTCCGCCTGCGTCCCTCAAACGGCGGAAGTGCCCCTGCCCTCCACGCGGCTGGCACACCGCCCGCGTCTCCCCGCCGCCTGCACGGCAGAGCGTGTGTCTCGGCGAGGCCGCCGGGGGGCGTCTGTGCAAACAGCGAGAGGCCGAGGAGCTGCCACGTGAGGGGAGGAAGCAGACGAGACTCGGAGGGAGAAGGAGGAGCCCTGGGCTTCCCAGTATCTACCTCGCTTGACAGGTCTGACTTTGAGAATGAGGCAGATGTTCTAAATCCTTATAAATAAAATCAGAAACGTGAAAACCACCATTGCAAATCAGAAATAGGAGTAAACCAGTGGACCTCCAGGG